ATAGATAGATAGATAGATAGGCAGGCAGGCAGGCAGGCAGGCAGGCAGGCAGGCAGGCAGATGATAGACACACACACACTGGTGATAATGCAATCAAAGATCTTTTCTTTGCATAAGGATTCTAGATGACAACATCTTGTAGCCTTTTTCACTTCATCACAGGACTGCCCACAAGATGGTTGAAAAAATTCAAGAAGGTGGCCACGACCTTGCAATTGAACTCCTCCCCTTTTTTTAACTCTGACACACATATGCACACCCTTGCTTCTCAAAATGCCAATATATGAAATATGTAAATAAATAATGATGGGGATGAAGCTGAGCAAGCCTCCTCTGTAGGGAATTATATCAGTCCCTGACCCTTCCAAAGTTTAAAGATCAGAAACTCTCTCTTCCTCTCCTCCCTAGTTCTGTGTGAATATATGCTACAGAAATTTCTGTCTACTACTTTAGCACAGAATCAGAAGGAAACTTCACGAAATATTGATTTGCGCGGCTCCTTTTCTATCCTTCACTCTTTTTGCTACTGTTTTGGAAGAAACGACAGAGAGTAGGATTTCTGAAAGTTGCTGGAAATTTAGAAACAAAGTTAGTTATGGGCTGTTTCTTTAGACTGTATTGTTAGCTGCTAGTGTGATAAATTGGTACTTAAATGCCCTGGATCATTATGCAAATCAATAGTAAAGGGTGTTCTTCGTTTTCAGGAATCAACTACTGTTTCCAATCGGTACCAATTTCTTCTCCCTCCCTCCCTCCCTCCCTCCCTCCCTCTTTCTTTCTTTCTTTCTTTCTTTCTGCTAAATACAAAAAAAAAAAAAACCCTAAAGAAAAAGAATACACAAAATTATAAAAGAAGGGGAAAAAAACCCCAGTCCATATCAGATTTCTTCACTCCACAGCCCATGTTCCCTCAATCATATATCAAATGCTTTTTGCTCAAAACACATTTCTGAATATATGTTCTTCATAGGTTCAGCTGCAAACTACATGTGAATATTTTAGAAGTGAAAAAAGTAGTACATAACTAAGTTCCACTCAATGCATATTATATCCTTTAAAATGGTTTGAAATGTAGATGTATTATCCTTCCATAACTAATTATTCTTTCTATATCCTGTTTATCTCTACATTATTTCTGGTGGATGTGGTTAATGGTTACCCATAAAAACCAAAAATGAAGTTCAGCTGCTTCTATCTAAATAAAGGTATAATTTTAAAATGCCAAAATAACTATTTTGTGATGGCATGACCAAAGGCTGTAAGCAATCAACACTCACCATATTTATATTTCTCATATTATACCCGCTGAGATGGAAAAAGATGTTTCCACAAACACTAGCAAAGAGGTGGCGGCTGCAGAATGTAGCAAGGGTCTTTCTCACTAGCCACTTCTGGGGAAGGAATTCTCTTTTGCCAAACCATGCCTAGAAAATACCAAAGAACTTTGTCAGTTGAAGTAATATGTAGTTTTCCTCACGTCTGGATGTTCTTTACAACTTCTGCTACTGGTACGTGGCTATAGAAGATTAACAAAATATTTATCAGGGCTCTTTTAGTGGCAGGAGAATCTCAACCTTACAGGAAGGAATTGTATGGACAGAAGGAAGTGCAGAGAATGTAAATTGACAGTAGCTTTAATAGATGAGACTTGGCATTAGGAGAAGAAGGTTCCTCTGTATGTGGGGTGGTATAGGAAAAAAAAACAGGATATGAAATAGGTATATATTCTGTACCATCTTTCCCACTTGCTCAGAGGTTGTCTTCTGTCCAATATTGCTAATGGTTCAATCCATCGTGTGTTGGGGGGCTGGACATTATTCATATTTAATAAACTGGGTGGTATACAAATTATTAGCAACTCTTGGTACAGGCCTCATTTCCATTTTGATGGTATGACATCCCATCATTCCATGGATGGCATTCTTCTCCATATTTTGTATATCCTCCTTCTTTCATTTAATAAGAATGTTGGAAATAAGTACATGCATTCTGAAAGCAACTAGTGAAGAAGTCAACTACAGCTTGTACAATTTCAATTTATTCTGATTTCCATTTATTTTTCAAGAAGCTGGCAAATTAGCAAATAAATAAGTAAATAAGTTATGAAGATTTCACCAAGTCCTGTATGCTGTTGTGGATTTAGACATGCCCCTCCTATAGTATTTTAGGTCAAACCTGGCCTAGGGACGAATGTGTCCAGGCAGTAATTAAGGGGGTGCAGATACCCCAATCATTACTCCATCATACAGTGTCCAGAGTGAAACATGAACAAAACAGTAAGAGAATGTGATTTTGTTTGTTTAGATTGATAAGAATATGAGTAGATAAAACAGTCTGCTTATGAAAGATAATAAACTAGTCTTTAATGTGATGCCTGAAACAATAAATATAAACATTATGCAAATCTGCTTAGGAATTTTATTATGTTCAAAGGGATGTTCCTCCAGAAAGTATCCCATAACGGCACCCTTATTCATTATTTGCTTGTTTGTTTAATATAATCAATTTATATGGCCACCAGTGTGCTGGATTTGCTCTGGGAAGCTAACAGAACATTAAAAACAATAATCAACAAAAATAAAACAATGTTCCAGCCATTAGACACATTGTACAATCTCCTAAGATGGGCACATTTAACAACTTGCCCTAAATGCCGGGGGGGGGGACAAAACAAAACAGGTTTTTAATACCTCCTGAAAGTCTAGCAGGTTCAGGGTCTATAGAATCTCTATGGGGAGAGGGGGGAGATCATTCCAAAGGGTGAGTTCTGCCGTAGAAAAGGCACACTTCCTAGATCTAGCCAATGACATTGGAGCAGGTCTAGCCTGGAAAAGTGTGTGGGATGGAGAAGTAGGTTCTGTAAATAACCTGCCTTTGTGCCATGTAGAGCTTTATCAGTGATAACCATCCCCTTGAATTGTACCTGGAAGCCTACTGTAACCAGCGCAGCTCACGAAGTAGCAGTGTTACACAAGCATACCATGGTACACTCATAATTGCCCATGCTGCTGAATTTTAGACCAATTGCAGCTTCCAGATGGTCTTCAAGGGCAGCTCCATGTGGAGCTCATTGCAGTAATCCAACTGGGAGGTGAGTAAGGCATGAGTAACTGTGAGCAGGTATGGGTACAGTTGGCACATCAGTTAAAATTGGGCAAAGGTCCTCCTAGCCAGACCTGCCATATAGACAGTGGTTATCTATTCAGGGGCATCTATTCTGACAGAGGGTAGTCAGAAAAGTCAAGATGGCAATCATGACTGTGAGATTGAAGCTCTGCTCTTTTGTGTTGGTGTGTCACATATAAAAAGGCATCCCTTTGATTATGCAGTTGTGACTGCCATCTTGACGTTGCTAACCATACCCTGTGATGCTTCTGCATACAGAGAGAAGGCTACTAAAACTCAGTGAAATTTTCAAATTAAGAAAATATCCTTTATGACTCTTTGGATGAATAGGAACTGGAATAAAAAGATGAACTTACCTGAAGGAACCTGTCTGGGAGATTAAGAAGTTTTACTATAGGACTTTTGGCATACTTAATTCTAGTCACAGGACCTAAGGCAAAAAACATTTTGATCTTCTGAGCCAACTCTGGCATGGTTGAAAATGCTACAAATGCTGAGAAAAATTCAAGAAGAGACAAAAAAAAAAATTGAGCAAAAAGGAATCAAACTCAACAGGAACTTTCTCCCCCACCCTCTTTAGTTTACACAGCAACATTTCAATATATTGGCCACATACATTTTAATTATTTAACAGGCTTTTTTTTTTTTTACAGAAGTACTTTTGTGTGACTACAGTGGTACCTCGGGATACGAACGCCTCTACTAACGTACATTTCGGGTTACGA